TTCTACCTCCATCATCCGGTATTCACTCCTCGACTTCGTGACAGTACATTATACCTCACACTTGATAAGATAACGAATGTAGATTATACCTTACACTTGATAAGATAACGAATGTAGATTATAACTCACACTTGATAGGATAACGAATGTAGATTATAACTCACACTTGATAAGATAACAAATGTAGATTATAACTCACACTTGATAAGATAAAGACTAAAGATAATACCTCAAACTTGATAAGATAACGAATGTAGATTATACCTCACACTTGATAGGATAACGAATGTAGATTATACCTCACACTTGATAAGATAACGAATGTAGATTATACCTCACACTTGATANAATGTAGATTATACCTCACACTTGATAGGATAACGAATGTAGATTATACCTCACACTTGATAAGATAACGAATGTAAATAACTTCATGTTTTAGCAAGAGCATGGAAAATTGTATTTTGGAGGACTCATGCTTGTTAATATATAATGAAATATTTAGCAATATGGACCAGGGGAAAAAGCTTAAATTCATATTTTGTGATATCTATAAAGCGTTAGATGGGTTTGGCCTAAAGGTCCAATACATCAGCTCAGAACATAAGGCATTGGTGGAAACTTACTACTCTGGTTTGAAAGTTATTAAGCAGATAGATTGAAAAGAACTGGCACTGAATGGTATTAGTCTCAGTTTAGTGTTATAATTGCTTGGGTAACCAAGGGGTCTATTCCTGGCCCAATTCTGTTTCGCCTTTCCATTCATGATACATTGTATTACTGTTAGTCTTTCTACTAACATTAAGCTTTTTGCAGATGCCAATTCTTTGTTTTTAATTATTGACAGTAACCCAGTACAGGCAACTCTCACGAATGGCTTTGTTAATATTAGTAAATGGGCAGGTATCTGGGACATAAAGAAGGGTGCCAATTTGAGCCTTCCGGTGGCTATCATCGATAAGTTTTACTTTTTTCTATAAACTTACCTTAGAATAATGACGTCAATGTATGATACTAAATCAAGGTCAGCTTGGAGACCATTCTGAGATATGAGGGAGTAAATTGGGGTACAACATCACAAATGGCATCTTTTCGACAAATCTAAATGTTATTATTTTTTTTATTTATTTTTCATAATTGTGATATATTGTGTAACAGTAAGGCTGCAAATAATAAAAATGGCCGAAAAAATAGCACATAGTTGATAAGTAGGTCACTGTGATCTTGTAATATTTTGGCTTAATTATGTCAATGAATCTCTCTAGTTTGTGCAAAAACACACATTAGAACCATCAGTAATCTTACTGAATTGTATTTAAAAGTATCTTAACCATATCTCAAAAAATGGGGGTCGAATTGAGCGGGAGGCAGTTACTTTTGGCATACATATTTTAAACATTAGGCGCACAACAACTGTTATTTTATCTGGACATGCATCCAACTCTTTTTTTTTTTTTGCAATGTTACCCTGATCTCGATTTGAATACAAGAAGATACTGATATTAGGTCATGTTTAGGTTTTCATCGGAAAAACTAGACGTTTCAATTTATATAAGATATAGTGAATAAAAAATGGAAAATATTTCCGTTATTTACAACTATTTCGTTTCCTGAAAGATGCCTAACGATAGATGAGAAGGTAGTTGGGTTTTGTTGTAAGTCTTTCTCTATATACATATTATTTTTGTAACACCCATTTTGTGTTACATGCATATATACATAGTATATACGTGGACTTTTGGTCAAAGCCCTCCTACTCTGCCCTGTTTAGTGACATATATACATGAAGGAAAAGAGAGTCAATTCTTTGTGTGTTGATTAATGTAGTATGATATAACTCCCATACGTTTTTATATTGGAGTTACCTCCCTTGCTTTATTACAACATTACTGTTTTATATAATTTTTCATTCAAAGTCAGTTTAATCTCAATGAATCAATACTGTGATAACGTGTGTAACCAATTTGTTTCGCAACTCAGCACAGAATTTATTCAGGCTGAGCCTGTTATTTAATCCATTTGACTATAACAATTTATCAACGGATTTATTGAAATGGTATCTACATTAACACAACCCCAAAACGCGATAACGGTAGTTCCGTTAAGTACCCCCGTCTACAGATAAGATAGAAAAGACCGTTACAGTGTAACATACAGGTGGGCTTTGTTTACCTTACAATATTACCTGTTTACGGAATGTTATTTTTTTTAAAATATATGACATAAGGAAGAGCAGTAGGGCCAAGTAAAGAAAATAATTCCGCTGTTTATAACTCGAAATTTGACTTAATAACTCGACATTTCGAGATAATGACGTTGAATTCTAACTGTAAATTTCGAGTAAATAAGTTGAAATTTCAAGTTTGTACCAATAAAACAACGAAATTGATTGAATTTTACATGACCCTACTGATACCACCGAGGCAGCAGTGAAGGGTTTTTAATCAAATTTATTTGTCTGCCTGTTTCGACAGTTAACTGTTAAAAACGTACAGTGTACACTTTTGTGTATACTTAGGGATATTTAAATTCACGGTAAAATATTCGCTGCTTATTTGATATTGCGTTATCATTAATGACCGTTATATAGCAGGATCAGATTACATTTGCATTGTGATTACGTTTACTTCAAATGCATGTGCATTGTACATACTTACTTGAAACCCAATCCTTCCAAAACGTTTTTCAGACGTAGTACATACGGTTGATCGTGTGACGAGTAAGATATGAAGATATGGTACGTTTTCCCGGGCGGTAAACCTCTCTGAGGCTTTATTGTTCTTTGTTGATAAACGTTGCTTGGGGGTTCAAGGTTTTCTTCGCGTAATAATGGAACGATTTCGTCACCAGACATTGTTCTGGAAAACAAAAGAGCATTGCGTTATATGAAAAGTTGAACATATATATTATGTTAATATCGGTTCTATAGAATCCTTGCCATACTAATTCAAAATGTTTCTCAATGGACTAAATGACAATGTGGTGCAGTATAAATGTCGAGTTTATTTGTCTACATAGTACTTTGAGGAATTCCCCTATGTTTATAGGACCTTGAGAAATACTCTTATGCCTATAGAACGTTGATGAATTCCCCTATGTATATAGTACTATGAGGAATTCCCCTATGTCTATAGTACTTTGATGAATTCTCCTATGTATACAGTAATTTGAGGAATTCCTCTATATCTATAGTACCTTGAGAAATACCCCTATGTTTATAGTACATTGAGGAATTCTCCTATGTGTATAGTACATTGAGGAATCCCCTATATATATAATACTTTGAGGAATTCCCCTATGTCTATAGTATGTTGATGAATTCCCCTATGTATAAAGTACTTTGAGGATTTCCCCTATGTCTACAGTACTTTGAGGAATTCCTCTATATCTATAGTTCATTGAGAAATACCCTATGCCTGTAGTACTTTGAGGAATTCTCCTATGTATATAGGAATTTGAGGATTCCCCCTGCATCTATAGTACTTTGAAGAATTCCCCTTGTCTACAGTACTTTGAGAAATCCCCTATGTCTGTAGTACTTTGAGGAACTCCCTTATGTCTTTAGTACTTTGAGGAATTCTCCTATGTATTTAGTACTTTGAGAAATCCCCTATGTCTGTAGTACTTTGAGGAACTCCCCTTTGCATATAGTACATATATGTAACTGTGATATGGCTTCGACAAGCGAGCAACAACTAATATTTCTTCTGTATAAAACGAAACATTGGATTTTTTTTTAATTGAAAGCGGAAATAAAAAGTGTTTCCTCTTATCTCATTAACCGCTGAAATTTCATAATGAAATATTCCAACCTTTGAATTGGAAGGTTTCAAATGTAAATGAAAACAATTTAGTGAGTTGGTGTACAGATGTAATTGTTGTATCCTCGAGAAAATAATTTTCGAGTATCTTCCCTGTCCAGTTTTGTAGATTGGTTACTTATATTTAATTCATAATGAAACCTAAATCGATGTTTTCCTGAAGATGTATACATCTAATTAATATTTTGTCCCCTGACTCTTATAATGTACAAGGAAACGTAGCAACCCTGTGTACGTGACTGATTGGATAAATTTAAACACAGGAAGTGATCTAATGCACAGCTCAACACACATACCCTATGTGACACCATGGATAGACACCAGCTCCGAGTGTTTGTTGTAATGTTTTCGTTCATAGTTACACAGGTAAGAAGCTGATTATCATCATATATATAACAATTTATCACCCTACACACATATATATTATCTATTGGTTTTGTATTTAAGTTCCGATCGAGGCATCTGTAAAAATATATTCAAATATTCTTACCTTAAAATGGGTAGTCGAGCGACTTCTCCTTCCACTTACCTTAGACACGAGTGCATACGTTTCGTTTTGATAAGGGGTATATGAGTCCAACAAACTACAGGTGTATACATGCATATGCCACATGCACGTATATTGTCTACTTTCACAATGCTTCCTGGTTTCGGTCGTGACAATTTCGAGTTCAGAAATATATCTAATTTATTATTGCATCACGACGGGAGACGTCATTACACTTTAACGGAAGACACCATGACAAGAGACATCCTGACGAGAGACACTATGACGGGAGACATCATGACATAAGACACCATGACAGAAGACATCATGACAAGAGACATCCTGACGAGAGACACTATGAAGGGAGACATCATGACATAAGACACCATGACAGAAGACATGACAAGAGACATCCTGACGTGAGACACTATGACGGGAGACATCATGACATAAGACAGCATGACAGAAGACACTATGAAAGACATCCTGACGTGAGACACTATGACGGGAGACATCATGACATAAGACAGCATGACAGAAGACACCATGACTAGAGACATCCTGACGAGAGACACTTTCACGAGAGACATCATGACAAAAGATACCATGACAGAAGACACCATGACAGAAGACACCATGACTAGAGACATCCTAACAAGAGACACTATGACGGGAGACATCATAACATAAGACAGCATGACAGAAGACATCATGACGTGAGACACTATGACGGGAGACATCATGACATAAAACAGCATGACAGAAGACACCATGACAAGAGACATCCTGACGTGAGACACTATGACGGGAGACATCATGACATAAGACATCATGACATAAGACAGCATGACAGAAGACACTATGACTAGAGACATCCTGACGTGAGACACTATGACGGGAGACATCATGATATCAAACAGCATGACAGAAGACACCATGACTAGAGACATCCTGACGTGAGACACTATGACGGGAGACATCATGACATAAGACAGCATGACAAAAGACATCCTGACGAGAGACACTTTCACGAGAGACATGACAAAAGACACCATGACAGAAGACACCATGACAGAAGACACTATGACTAGAGACATCCTGACGTGAGACACTATGACGGGAGTCATCATGACATAAGACAGCATGACAAAAGACATCCTGACGAGAGACACTTTCACGAGAGACATCACAAAAGACACCATGACAGAAGACACCATGACAGAAGACACTATGACTAGAGACATCCTGACGTGAGACACTATGACGGGAGTCATCATGACATAAGACAGCATGACAAAAGACATCCTGACGAGAGACACTTTCACGAGAGACATCATGACAAAAGACACCATGACAGAAGACACCATGACTAGAGACATCCTGACGAAAGACACGATGACGAGACATCGTGATAGAATACACCATGACAAGAGACATCATGGCGATAGACACTATGATGGGAGACACCATGACATAACAACCCATGACAGAGGACACCATGACGGAAGAAATCATGTCGAGAGACATCATGACGGGAGACACCATGACAGGAGACATCATGACAGAAGACACCATGACGGAAGACACTATGACGAGAGACATCATGACAGAATACACCATGACAAGAGACATCATGACATAAGACACCATGACGGAAGACATTATGACAGAGGACACCATGACGGAAAACATGATGTCGGGAGACATCATGACGGGAGACATAATGTCGGGAGACATCATGACGAGAGACACTATGACAGAAGACACCTTGCCAGAGGACACTATGATAGAAAACATCATGTCGGGAGACATCATGACGGGAGACACCATGACAGGAGACACAATGACGGAAGTCACCATGACGAAAGAAGCAACGATGGATGACATCATGGCGGGAGACAGAATGACGGGAGACACCATGACGGAAGAAATCATGTCGAGAGACACCTTGACGAAAGACACTATGACAGAAGACATCATGAAATTAGACGTCATGTTAGTAAGAGATTCGTTAACCGCGTAATATAGTACATGTACCTGTATATTTTTACATCAACCACTTACCGCGATCTTTATAGATGTACATAAAATAGCGTTTTCATCAGGTTCAACTCACTACACAAATGTATGTTTATCGTGGCATAAGTCAATCCCTTTCGACAGGATTACCGAACATTTTAATCCTAACATAAAAATAACCAACCAACCAACCGGCGTCTTCGAATCAATATCGCTGCGTGCAGTCCTTATTAACATACAACCGGGATATCAGCAGATTTCTTATCAGCCATGGAGGTCGTCTCACCCAACAAAAGGAAACAGATCAATGATGATAAGGACGTCAACCTTTTTACTTTACTCTTACACGAACGGGACGCCAGTAAATTTGGTCGCTTAACAGATGTTAATGGTCAGACATATCCTCTTCAAACAGATCCATGACTTTTGAAGTGTTTAGCACTTGTTAAATTAAACTATAAAAATGTTATGTGTCAGGTTTTCCAAAAAATACGACACGAGCTAGTTGTTTATGAGCGAGACCTCATTGAACTAGTACTTGCATCACAAGGTCCTTTTCTACGAATTCCATAAGCTTTTTCCGATAAGGCGCAATAAAATACATCAGCGTCAGGTAAAATATTACTGAGCCATCAGGGACAACCAACCATATACGACGATTTACTCAGGCTTCATATGTAACCGTTGTAAAATGTGTTACCACGCGTGTCACTGAGGAATGCTGCCCTCTTTTCCCTCAAAGCTCAACATTTGCACTCCACATGAAACACTTAAGCAGACTTGTGTCAGATCCCATCAGAATAATGAAAACGCATATCACTAATGTGCACGAAACTGTGTTCTAACTTTCTGTGTTCTAACTATGTGTCCTTTGTCAAGCCAGTCTCCAGGCTTTTTCTGTTCATCCCTTTCAATTTCAATTTATGCTTTCATGTCTGTGTCTTCCACAATATTAAATTACATTCACCCTCCTCATGACCAATCCAAGGTTACGGTGGTTAGTCATAGAATTTATCCAACACAAAGAGTTGTGACATTATAATATAGAAGATGTGTAATTTAAACAGTTTACCATTCCAGTACATTCGACCTTATGTTTACCTGATGCCTTATATATACACGATAAAATATGTATGTTCCAATTTAAACATAAACTTTAGCAACCCATACTGTCATTGCTTGATTCTATCTGTCTTTTCATGTTTATCTATATCATAACCCCGTTTTTGCTCATACTCGCTCACACGCGAGGTATTTCTTCATTTTTTCCCTCTTTTTTTTTTTTTCGAATTATAGCAATGACTATCGTCAAAATACACATCCTTGTTTTGGCACATTGCATTACACTGACACCGTGTAATTAAATATATATGTTCCCATTATGCCAGTGTAATGCTTCTCTATCAACCATTCGGTAATATAACTCCTGGACCTAGCGACCAGCTACACCTGCGACGATATTTTACAATGTTGTCCGGCTTTAGTTAATCCTTGTCCCAAATCTCATTACAGATGCGAGACACACAAGTCGAGTTAATCTTGACCTAAAGTTTTCAGCTGCCTCTTCGGCTATGTAACACAGGGACCTATTGACCAGCATGTGACTGCACCTGCAGTGGTCATTTAAGATATCGTCCAGACTGGGGTTTTCCCACTAGCCCCTTGCATCGCTGTTTTTTTGTCAAGTTGTCCTTGGCTTTTAGGTTTTCTGCTGCTCAAGCTAGCGCCCAATGGAGGTCAGAGACAGCAGGAAGGCATCGTCATGTTTTAAAAAATGTGTCAACTTTATTATCAGTTGTTTGTTATCTGTTTGTAAAGGCGTGTTTAGCATTGGACTGCTTTTAATTTGCATTTATAGACAAAATGTTATATAAACTTGAACAAAATCACTAATTGAAAACGTATTTTGCGTGCTTTCGAAAACGACTGTATCCTTCTTCAAGCAAGACTGCAAGGTGAGCTAAAAATTGGTAGTTGCTTTTCGCTGCTTTACGTGTTCAGCATTTAGGGAAATTGCAACAACTAGTTCATCCGTTTTCAGTATAATGTGACAGGGCGGAATGATGTGCTTGGATCTTTCGGCATTTCATATATAGATCATTTCTTTGTTGATTACAGATCTGTATCGTCAGAGGGGAGGTACTGGTACACTACAAAGGGAACAACTATGTGGAATGTCCGTCGGGTTCCTACCAAGTCGAATTTTCCTCCAATTGCACTGACAACTGCCCTCCTAATGCACCGTATATAGTGTCCGATTTATGTTTGGACTACTGTCCTGTGGGTTTAAATTACACGTGTAATAGGAAAGATGCTATCCCTCAAACAACTGCAACAATACCTGATAAAACAGCAGTCTTGCGATGCCCAAAAGGATTATGTCCGAAGGAGAGACCGTTTTGTTTTGACTATCATTGTTTGTCAGATTGTCCACATGAAATGATTAGGGAGGACTTTTCATGCGTCTATCATTGTTTTAATGCGACATCGATGGTGTACAACAAATCATGTGTGACCGAATGCCCCCGAGACTCTCCCTTCAATGAATCGGGTATTTGTGTTTCAAAATGTTCAACTTATAATATACTTTATGGTAGCGTTTGTATCCGTGACTGCCCAGTCAACATGTTTCGGTATAATAAGACGTGTACAACATCATGTCCAAAACTAGCGCCTTTCGATTTCGAGGCTTTAAATACAAAATTTTGCTTGGAATCGTGTCCGGACTTCACTTTAGTTCATCGACATGTGTGTAAGCTACAGTGTCCGGATGGATTCTTTCTTTGGAACAGAACGTGTGTTAGAACATGTCCAGACTCTGCCCCAATTATCTATGTATTGAACAAAAGAGTCCCACAAT